AGAATGTGCAGAAACCACTTGTTTTACCATGACTATCCCTATGACCCTTATTCACCCATCTCCATCAAGGTACATGCATTACTATAGCACTACGCTACGCCACTTGGCTTGCCACAACTACATACCGTGTATGTTAAGAAACTTTGATTGAGGCACTTGTTTCCCTTTGTATAACTGCAGCATGTCGTGTGAAATTTTTCTCTTACTGACAGAAAACGAAGCACCAGAGACCGACCAGCGCCCACTGCAAACTGCACTTTGTCCTCAAGTCTATGTTCCAACGACCCAACGTCCTCTCTGGCTCCTCTCTTGGTTCCCATGGCAACAAGCCCCTCCCATTCGCCTTCCCCGGCAGCGACAGTCTTCTGAGCATGTCGATAGAGTATCCCGGTGGAGTGAGCGCTAACTCCCCCTTTACTGGTGGGTTACATGATATTTAAACACCTGTGTTAATATACCTCTTCTTCACCCTTTCCCTCCATCTCTCTATATCCACCAGCCAGTGGTGAGGAAGCGGTGTCCTCTCCTCCTCCTCTGTCCAAGGTTGACATGTTCCCCAAATCATCAGAGGACGACCCTGTCTCCCAGGCAATCGCCAAGATGATCGAACCAGACGATGAGGTAATGATGACATCATTAAAATCTTCATCTCCTAACATTTACACTGCACAATATGCAACCTTTCATACACTCATCCAAATTCTAGCAACAAAAGAAATGTGGTATTAAAGACAGTGTATAAGGACAAAACTCACTAAAAATGAAGACGTAATCACATTCTTGCACTGGGCCCTATTTTTAGGTTGTTACTTTATGTATAAGAGTCACCAAATACGCAAAGTCAGCACTTTCTCTTACATAAAGTAATAACCTATTTTTAGGTTCTATCTTTAGTAACATTTCTATATTTAGCTTTGTGTACCCTTCAAGAAGCGGTTGTCTTCCCTATCAGGTGGTGGCCAGGTTCCAGAGTGCTCGACTGACAGGGCTGGACAGCCGGGACGGAGTCCTTCTTCTGGGCACCACTCATTTCTACGTCATCGAGGGTGTCACTCTGTTGCACGGTGGAGCTGGAGCTCTCATTGATATCGAGTCGGCTCCTGATGGGTGAGACTAACAACTAATGATACATGGCCTGTAGGAGATAGGAATAGTCCGAATATAAAGGGAGTATGGCAGGCTTAATTGCAAAGACGGAAACCTAATTTCATTCTTGCACTAGTCCCTATTGCCATCTTTTTTCTATTAATGACACATTGTCTATCATACTCATGCAGTTGTATACATGAGCGAGTCTGTGAAAATGTACACACATCCGGGAGCACTGTTGTAGTGTTGTGAGAGTAGTGAATCATGTTCTCTGTTTCTTTGCTCTTACTTGTCAGTTTTGCAATAGATAAGTGTTCCCTGCATGTCTCTATCTGTTGCAGGAGTTATGACCCAGTCTTGCCTGCTTATCTGCACATTTCTTCATCCACAACGGAAACTGTCCCCATCGGGTAACTAACTACACACACATGAAATGGACAATGCTGACGAAATATTACATCATAGCCGTTAAAAGCTTGGTGGATTCGGGTTTTACATTTCCAAGCGTCATTGCGCAAACAGCTACGCACCCTTTCTCGGAGGTACATGCGTTGAGGGTCGTGCGCAGAGAGAGGGTCTGGCCAAACCTGCACTTGATTGCATTTGTGTTTATCATTATTGCGTGAGTTGTGGTCCTGTATATAGCGGTATAACTATGAACCACTGGAGTGTTTTACTCCGTGGGAAACGCAATCAAGAAAATTTTTGCCTACCCCCTGTCTCTGCGTGCGGCCTCACTGCACGCCTCCCGCATAGGCCGGAGAGAGTGTCTACTGGTTAACTAGCACTACTGAGTTGTGCAATTCTCTTTTCCCTGTCGTCAGCTGTGTGAAGTGGCCGTATGCAGTGGTGAGAGAGATCCACAAACGACGCTATCTCCTGCGGCACTGTGCCCTCGAGGTGTTCTCGTCAGACGGTAGAAACCAGTTCCTCATATTCCACACCAACCAGAGAGATAAACTGTACCACAAGTTAGTTACTTCTCTGCACCATTCCAAGAGTAATACTTGGGACTCGTATTGAGGGAATATTATAGCAGTATGTACTAAGGCTGAAATTTTCCTATGTGCACACCAAAAACATTATAAAGGGAAATCTGACGAAGTTATGTTGAGATGCTTCTAACACACGGATACAGACATTACTGGCCATGCAGTAAAAATATTAATGAATGGTAACACCATTTCAAATTATCCATGGATTGTTTTAGGCAAAAAAGTAAATTCGATAGTTGAAAAAAATTTGCCCAGCCTTCGCATCTCTCCAGACGGACGTCTATTGACAACTATATGCTGTCCTTAAAAAATTCTTCTAAGGTTGAAAAAATATGTCAGTGGGTGCTTATCCATCAGACCACACCCAATACTTGGCAGGGGCGAGTGCAATACTGTAGCACTAAAGTGCAAACCCTCGGTGCAATGTGCAGGCATTCACACTCATGCTGGCTGTAGCGGGGATGCATAGACCCAAAACCATGTGTATTCTTATTGCAGGTATCATAGACTTCTGGTTGACCCTGTAAGTCAACCATGTATACGTGTGTTGTACTGTATGTGTGTGTGTGCAGGTTGAAGTCTCGGTGTCCTAACTTGGCTGAGAGTGGGAACGACACAGTGGCAGGGACCAACCCTGACAGAGATCCCCGAGCAGACTCCGGGTCTCCTCTCTGCTCTCATCACTGGAGACAAGTCTCTTGCCACACGATGGGCAGTGAGTGGCTCTGTATACATACAGGCTGTATATATAATGTTGCAGTGCCCAGACATGACAGCATGAGCCCTGTAAGGGCGAATGCTGTCCTGTCGGGCACTGCAACAGATTTGTTGGATATCCCTAGGCAAATGACATGTATGAACCCTGCTTGCACATGTACAAGATTGTATAGGCTGATGAAACCCCCCAGTACCTAGCTTCATACATGTCGGTTGCCTAGGGATGATACAACATATAGCACTGTAGTGAGTGGCTATTATCGTGACTGCACGCAGTTGTGTATTACATTCCAGTCTTAGTATGTCAATATTCATAGTTAAACCACAAGTGTTTCTGACAGTTTTAGCTATAAAATGCTGCTCGCTCCCCCCCCATGCTGTATTCACCACTCAGTATGTCCTTTCTGACAGCTTGAAAATTTTTGGAGGCCTTTGGACCCAGTATCTAGGAGTTACTCTCCACACGGCCATGTGTGGAGCAGGGTTGCCTGGAGAAGAAAGGCCATTTTAACCACACCCATTTCCCCTCTATTGCTAAATGTGCTACACGTGAGGGTTTGCACTTTAGTGCTTTTCATTGTGTTATGAGTGACTGTGTCCTACCCTTTGGGCGCCATTTACATATATATGCACAGAGCCTCCATAAGTGCATAAGTATAGGTTATACGATGGCGGCGCGTGGTTTACTGGTTTTACACGAGTGGCCAGTTTTGATAGGGCACGAGGGCGTAGCCCGAGTGGTCTATCAAAACTGAAGCCACGAGTGTACAACCAGTAAACCACAAGCAAAGCCATCGTATAACGTGTTTGTATGATGACATCCCGCGGTAAGGCTCTGACCAATGAGATCGCACAAAAGCTTTCAAAATGCCCTCTTTTTAACGCACACCCTCGGGTGTATATACGGCCGGAGAGAGCTAGCTAGCGACCGATCGGGAGCGGAGAGACAGCTGCAATAAGCGCTTTAGTTTGGTCAAGCTGGGCGGTTGTGCAGAAGCCATGGTCATTTTTTCGAGAGTTCAACGTTACAAGTACGTCACTTTTTCGCTGCTGGACTCCACGCGAGTTTTGTAGCTGCCGCTCTGGCTCGCTTTCTCTCCCGCTATACCCAGCGCTCTCGAATGCAGCCTGTTGCAGTAGAAAGAAAGCTGAAAGTCACATACTGTTCCAGTCTACGGGAGCCTACGCGTCGGGAAGCAGTTTTTAGCTAGTTTTCAGACCGCGTATATACTAGAGCAGTTCTGGCCATTCTAGCCTGAAAACACTCCCTTCTGGTAAAGAAACAGCAGCACATAAAGAGTGTGAAAGCCCCCTAATTGCATTACACGCTGCCAATTTCCTACTATCGTATAACTACCATATACCCATTGTGGTTTATGCAAATGAGTTGACATACAGCTAAAGTATGGGGAAATCGTATGGCCTCTTTATGGTATAACTACCCGTAAACTCAGCAGGAAGCACTCACTACGCGTGTACGTTGTTTGGACTAGCTGGAATTCCTTTGATCTTACTCTCAGTCATCATACAAGAATTTATATATGGCTATAATACTAGGCGCTAATATGTTATACATCAATTTTTGCTTATTTAAGGAGATACCCATGGCGTCCAAAGGGTTTTAACCAGACTGGTGCAAAAAGCAAGTCCATGTGTGTTACTAAACTATTTTACGTGCAATAGCACATCTTAACAGGTGTGTATGTAAATACCACATTGCTGGTGTGAAATGAAACAGTAGGAGCTAACGCAGGTATAAGTTTGAAATTACTCTCTCTTTTCTTCACTCCCCCACCCCTCCTCCCCTCCCCTCGTCCGTCGCTCAACCAGAACGGAGAGATGTCCAACTTCCAGTACCTCATGCAGTTGAACACCCTGGCCGGTCGGTCGTACAACGACCTCATGCAGTACCCCATCTTCCCATGGGTCCTGGGCTGACTATGAGAGCGATGTAAGCCCGTCTCACACCTCTCTATATGGCTGCTTAGATGTAGTATGTTACAATGAGTTGCTAGGCCTTTTAACCATAAAGCAACTTCCTTGCATAAGTCTCATGCAATATCAGTCTATGCGTGCAATTTGGTTTCCAGCAGCAAAGTTAGTCAACCCCACCTCCCACACACACACACACACACACACACACATGCACAGAGCCTTGACCTGACCAACCCCGCCACGTTCAGAGATTTCTCACTGCCCATGGGGGCTCAGAACAGCCAGAGACTCAAGAGGTTCATAGAGAGATACAATCTCACCAAAGAGGACCCAACTGGTACGTAGATACGTAGTTCTAGTGTGTAAATTATGGGTACACTTTTGACTCAGGTAGGTACGTAGCTGTGTGTGTGTGTACTTATGTAGTGTTGCTCTTAGAGCTCACTAAAGCCAAATGCTGAATCTCGTAGTGTCTGCTCTGCCATGTCCATACATTTTTGCAATGTTAAGCTGCTTGTCCAAAGAGATGCATGTTAAGGCCCTTCTAGCTGTACTTGGAGTGTTCGCAGTATGTGTTCATATTGTGATGTTGGCATCTCAGGTGAAGGAATTCCTCCGTTCTACTATGGGACTCACTACTCGTCGGCCATGATAGTTGCTTCCTACCTCATAAGAATGGAGCCCTTTACTGGCCACTTCATCAAACTACAGGTCGGCTAACACTGTCCCAGTCTACCTCTCATACATTACACCTATGTATGCATGTACAGTGTTGTCACATAACCATACACCACTCAATGACCTTCTGTTGTGCAACTATGGGTGTGTCAAAGATGCAAAAAAATTGTCCTGCACTTCGAAATTGCCATGCCATTCTGAAGAGCATGTAGTCCTTCTATACATGTGTTTATAATCCTTAGACCTTCTTTTGAGGGTTTAGCTAACACCTAGGCCTTACACTCAGTTTAATTCCCGCATGCAGGGAGGGCATTTCGACCTCGCCGACAGACTGTTCCACAGCATCCCCCTGGCCTGGGTCTCGGCCAGCTGTACCAATATGGCCGACATCAAGGAACTCATCCCCGAGTTCTTCTATCTCCCAGAGTTCCTCTCCAACAGCAACCACTTCGACCTTGGTCAGTCACTCTCTGCCTATATATGTACTATAGAGCTGGTAGCTCCTCCGCCTATAGAACTGGTTGTTTTTGAGAAAATATAAGCTGTTTGAAAGAGCCATATCCAAAAGTGTTCTCAGCAATATTTTGTGTCTGTGTGTGGGTTTTTCTGTATAGTTGTCAGACAATCGATGAGTTTCCCTTGTTTGTTGTTACTGAATTGAGAAGATTTCTCCTTCATAAGTTTCCGGATATGAAGTGAAGTGATCATATGTATCTCTTCCCTGTGAACTGTATGTGCTGTGCCTGTGTGTATTTTGCGTCACGCTGGCTGCCAGCTACGTACTGTTTTGCACACAGATGTGGAGCATAATGTCAACTGTGCTAGATTAAGGGTTAAACCGTGACTTTGTGTGTGTGTGTACAGGAACGAAACAGAGTGGAGAGCCTCTGGGAGATGTTATACTGCCACCGTGGGCCAAAGGCTGTCCCATTGAATTCATCAGACTCCACAGAGAGGTGCGTAATACACACCAAGTACATACGTAAAGGAGTACTCTAACAGCAATTACATCGTTATGACATCATCAAAAATATATGACAAGGTAAAGGGCTTGCTAATATTAATAGGCAGCCCTGTTTTTTAAGGGGTGAGCTGCACATTTTTGCCTCAAATGGCACCAATAGTAAATGCAATACCAATCACGAAACTACGAATTCTGTTGCGTCCCGTATTTCATTGCCATTATCTCTTTTCTCGCTGTCTACAGGCACTGGAGAGTGACCATGTGTCGGCTCATCTCCACGAGTGGATTGATCTCATCTTTGGGTACAAACAGACTGGGAAGGAAGCGCTCAGGGCTCACAATGTCTTCCACTATCTTTTCTACGAGGGTGCAGTCGGTATCCACCTCTATAATATATTCTAATGCAGTAACATAACAAAATGCACTTACATTCGTTGTTTGTGCTTTTGCTAGCTTGTACTGCAGCCATTACATGAATGGTAACCGAGTAAGGTAGAGATGCTTCTTGGACAAAATCAATCCATGTTTGCTGTTAATTCTGGGAGGGTGCCCCTGATAATGTTTCCCTTTGTTCTTGTGTACGGCTGACAGATCCATACCCTTTCTGTTGTCATGGATCACCTACCATCTATGCATAGTTCCCCATTTAAGTGTATTCATCATTAAACCACAAGTGTAGGATGCTTTGTGAGGTATAAAATGCAGCCTACAGGTGCCCTGGCCTCAGTCCAGAAGTCTCTAGAGCTTAAGAGATAAATTTTTGAGGGCCTGACCCCCACTGGTCCAGGAGTTACTCTCCCTCAGTGGAGTAGGGTTACCTGGACTTTCAGGCCGGTTACTCTTGTTTCCAGCTTTTTGGGATATACTCTGGTCTAACGTAGACTAAGAGTGTACAGTTAAACATTCATGCTGATAAAACACACAGAAGTATGTAATCGGGGAGGTGGAGCTACATAACTTGTCAATGAAATGTACTCGCTACGGTTTCCGCGTAGATACGCTAGCAAGCATGCAGGTCGCTGCTTTCTTCGTCCTATGTTTCTGGTTTGTATCAGTGAGCACTTAGTTGGCCAAGAAATCAGAATTTTGCTCATTTGTACGGCATTATACACTGACTAATCTAACTCCCACTGTTCCATGGGCGCAGTTTATATTCCATGTGTGCCATAGGATTCGTATGGCATTATGCAGAAATGGCCTAGCATAAGAACTACAGAGTGAATTTGAACCAGGTACGCGCCAGAGTAACTGGAAAGAGATGCGCTACAAGCTCCATAGTGTAGGTGTTGTAAACGGAAGCTATTCTCGATTTTAAGAGTGCATTCTCAACTTTAGTACGTGCAACCCCCTTTGCAATTGTGTCCATTGGTCTTACTCAATAGAGATCCACGAAAATCCGAAGTGTACCATGTATATACATGCTGTGTAGGATTAGAGGGTGTGGCCCCAACCTGCTGCATACCAGCCTACAAAGCTGACAGCTGGTGCCTGGTGCTTTTGCCAGTATTCATTGTTACCACAAGCACATACACCAGAACTGCCTTTATAAACTCTGAGGCACTAGCCCTGAGACAGAGTAGTTTAGAATCAATTTTTGGAAGCCTGTCTTCCAGTCCAGGAGTTACTCTCCTTGGTCGACCATGGAGTAGGGTTGCCTGGGCTGTCAGGCTGGTTTTTGCATTTAACATTTACGTTGTTGTCACAAAAAAAACTGGCCTGACAGCCCAGGCAACCCTACTCATGGTCGGCCAAGGAGAGTAACTCCTGGACTGGAAGACAGGCCTCCAATCAACAAAGAAGAGCGTGTGGGGAGCCTCATGCCAGAGTGCTTATACTAGGCAGAATGAGCCTGGGGTAGGCCCCTCTATGCACACTATATGAGACTTGCACAATACAGGTGCGTTGTCTACTGCTTGTATGCAGTCATTGTATTATAGTGGCAAACAGTGTGTTTCAAGTTGCTTGTAGAATAGGTGTCCATGTTGCAAGTATATACGACATATGAGAGTACTACTGATTGCCATACAAGTAGCGGTGGTGCGAGTTTTACTCTGGCAAATACAGTATAATATGGATAGAAAAGGATTCCTTATTTCAGATGTGTCCTTAGAGAAGGGTTCACGAATTGTATATACAGTGTTGGCACTGTCGTAGGTACAGAATCACTTTCTTAGCCACTTGTATGTGACACAATGCTTCTGGAGTGCGCCACAGAACTGTATTCATATCATTAAAACCACAACCGCATCCTTCAAACCTGCCTTTATAAGTGCTCTGGCGTGGCCTTGCCATATGACTACATACACTAATTTTTGAAGGCCTGTGTATGAGTCCAGGAGTTACTCTCCCTGTGGGTTTCAGGGAGCAGGGTTGCCTGGGTCATCAGGCCAGCTTTTTACTTGCTACAAAACTCACACTTCTTGTTACTCGACTTATAGCACTTCAGTTGTGATTGGTCTAATTCGTCCCGCTCCATTTCCGCAAGTTACGAAGCCTTGCTTGATTGACTGCCATATTGTTGTGGTCTTGTACAGCTAGCCCATCAGGATAACCTGCCTCGTAGTAATGGCCAAGCTACACATGCATGCTGTTGTCATATCACAACATATGTTATGTACTATTGTGGGTGGACCTGAGTGGAAGCTGCCATTGTTAAATGTATTCACGGTACGAAAACCACAATTGTTTGGTGGGGAAGTTGGTATATCTAGATCGGGAGCACCGCACGGGACTATTGTCAGTCAATAATGAGAATTTTTGGAAGCCTGTGGTTCAGTCCAGGAGTTACTCTCCCTGGGAGGGAGTAGGGTTGCCTGGGCTGTCAGGCTGATTACCAAACTCAAATACAATGGTTGTGGCTAGCCCCATTTCGACAAGGGAGGAGACTTGGTTGTAGTCTGTTGGTTACCTAAGCTCTAACCTCTGGTGTTTCAGGGTTTGAGTCACGAGAGAACAAAGGGAATTTTTTTTTGCTGTTCTCATGGGTAATCACCCCACCTCACATGTCTCTATCTTACTGGTTTTAACACAGCTTCTTTTACTCTGAAAATGGGCTCTCTTGGAGTATTGTTTCAGAGTACAAAGGTGGTTCTCCCTAAAGCATGCCACACACTTTGTACCCTGGAAGTAGATGATATTCATAGCAGTAGTAACCACAAGTGTTGGGCTTAGAACTGCCAATAAAAAGCCAGCCTGCCCAGCTGCCAATGGGATGGATCTGCTGATCATATAGAATTTTTGGAAGCCTGTCTTCCAGTCCAGGAGTTACTCTCCTTGGGTTACCTTGGAGTAGGGTTGCCTGGGCTGTCAGGCTGAATACCAAACTCAAATACAATGGTTGTGGCTAGCCCCATTTCGACATGGGAGGAGACTTGGTTGTAGTCTGTTGGTTACCTAAGCCCTAACCTCTGGTGTTTCAGGGTTTGAGTCAGAGAGAACAAAGGAAAAGGTTTTTGTGTTCTCATGGGTAATCACCCCACAACCTCACATGTCTCTATCTTATCCTAGCCACTGGTTCTTCTTTTACTCTCTCTTGGAGTATTGTTCAGAGTACAAAGGTGGTTCTCCCTAAAGCACTTTGTACCCTGGAAGTAGATGATATTCATAGCAGTAGTAACCACAAGTGTTGGGCTCAAAACTGCGTATAAAAGCTAGCCTGCCCAACTGCCAATAGGATGGATCTCTGGTATGTTAAATTTTTGGAGGCCTGTCTTCCAGTCCAGGAGTTACTCTCCTTGGGCTACCTTGGAGTAGGGTTGCCTGGGCTGTCAGGCTGATTACCAAACTCAAATACAATGGTTGTGGCTAGCCCCATTTCGACAAGGGAAGAGACTTGGTTGGAGTCTGTTGGTTACCTAAGCCCTAACCTCTGGTGTTTCCGAGTTTGAGTCACGAGAGAACAAAGGAAAAGGTTTTTTGTGTTCTCATGGGTAATCACCCCACAACCTCACATGTCTCTATCTTATCCTAGCCAACTGGTTTTAACACAGCTTCTTTTACTCTCTTGGAGTATTGTTATCAGAGTACAAAGGTGGTTCTCCCTAAGGCACACACACACACACACAAAATGGTGGCCACACACTTTGTACCCTGGAAGTAGATGATATTCATAGCAGTAGTAACCACAAGTGTTGAGCTCAGAACTGCCTATAAAAGCCAGCCTGCCCATCTGCCAATTCGATCATCAGTGGAGTATATTGAATTTTTGGAGGCCTGTCTTCCAGTCCAGGAGTTACTCTCCTTGGGTTACCTTGGAGTAGGGTTGCCTGGGCTGTCAGGCTGTTCTTTTGTTTTGTCTTTGATCAGCTTACAGCTTACATATTCAGACCCATAATGCAGTACTGTTTGAGTAGGACATATGTTTTAATGCAGCATGTGGAACAAGTTGTGCAGCTTTTGTTCCACGTAAAAGTATGGTTTGTGTCCAACATTTGCTGTTTTCAGTTTTCCACATTGAATTTTTAAGTTCCAACCAGTTAGTTACAAACAGTCTTTGGACCATGAAAGGGAGCGGTATTATATAGTACACGAGACTGTGTGATATCCTTGGTTTAGTCCTCCCTGACTCAGAGTGACCAGACATTGAGAAGATTGACGACCCTGTCAAGAAGGGTGCATCCATCTCCTTCATCCACAACTTTGGCCAAATGCCCAAACAGGTGCGTGCTTCTGTATGGATAAGACTAACCTAAGCCTGTATGTCGCTTTATTGGATATCCCTAGGCAACCGACATGTATGAAGCTAAGTACTTAGGGATTTTATCAGCCTATACAATCCTACATGTGCAAGCAGGGTTCATACATGTCATTTGCCTAGGGATATCCAACAAATCTGTTGCAGTGCCCAGACAGGACAGCATTCGCCCTCTGTCCTGTCTGGGCACTGTAACAAGCTGAGGTGTAGTATTACAATTATCACTGCTGCATGTTGTTGGCCATAAGAAAGAGGGAGGGAGAGAGGAAGGGCCGTAGGTGGCAGAAAATGTGCTTCTAAAAACCAACCATCTGGTATGTGTAAAGTGCAGTGACATGCCCCCGTCATTACATCGATAAAATTTTACTAGAGGAATGAGAGTCATTTTGCCATGTGTTTTTCATAGAATCACGTAACAACATAGGAACCTTTGGCATTCAGACGACTAGGTAGACTCGCTTCATGGGTATAAATGTACCGTTCGTGAGTGCATGTGAAAACTATGAGGTAGAAAGGCAAAGGCACAACAAACAAATCAACTACACCCAGGACAGCTCATGTGTACATGTGTGAGTGCATTGGGGAGGGAGGGAGAGAAGGAGAGTAAGAGAATTTTATGATTCTTCTCTGCTTGCACAGCTGTTCAAGAGACCACACCCAGCTCGCAAGGTGTTCTCGTATTCTGCTACCCCCTCCCTATCTGCCCCTCCCGTTGCCATGGACACAACAAGGGTCTTCTACAAGAACCTCACCCAATTAATGCCCTCCAGAGAACCTGTAAAAGGCAAGTTACTACATGCGGTCTTTACTAGTTTACGTCTAGTGGTTGGACAACCCTGAAGAAAGAACTGCCGTCATTAGGACCTTAACCCTCTTTTCTAGGCAGAGCTCACTCATTTCCTTCATGAAACAAAACATAGAACTCCTACATAGTCACACACAGAAAGAGAGGAAAGAATGTGACAATGTGTGTTGTCGGCGTAAAAGAGATGGCGATAGGTTCCTGCATTATACGGTGCCTTACTGAGCTACCAGGCATGTCCACTACCAATGCACAGTAACACGTAATCTATCCGTGCCAGCGCTTACACGCGTACATACATTACTCGTGCATATTACCTACGCCGGTTGTTATTGTGCCAACTAATAGTGTTTTGTTCCCTCAGAGATCAGAGGAGAGGTCCACCATATATCGCTGGTGGGGGACAGGACTCTTCTGGCCTTGGACCGGAACAAGCTCCCTCTCCCTCCCCTCTTCTCTCGTTATTTCATGTGGGGTTTCCCCGATCGCAGTGCCAGGGTGGCCTCCGTGGAGGCTGACAAGGTGAGGGGGAGGGGGAAGGAAGTAAAGGGGGGAGGGATAATATATGAGAGTGATGGTACATAGATGGCAGATGGAGAGAAGCGAAAGAGATGCAGATATAGCGGGACAGAAGTTTTCTGCATTGTATGTAAATAGAGGTATTATAATAGTCGTAACTGGATAAAATATCTCGTCGCACACTAGTAACTTGTTGCCTTCGTTGTAGTAGTTGTGTGTGTGTGTGTGTGTGTGTGCGCGCGCATGCGTGTGTGTGTGTGTGTGGAGGAGGAGGTGTGGGTGTTGTTGTTATGGTACAATACACCTCCTCTCTGTTGTCTCAGGTGGTCTCGGTGTTTGAGAACCTTCACCAGGGCCGCATTCTCTGCTCCACAATGCCTCACGACAACATGTTGCTCACCGGTGGAGACAGCACTGTATGCATACCATACACTTCTAAAACACAAATATTGTTGGTTCCAATTTAACGCAGAGTGCCCCACAATTCAAACTTTCCCTGCAAGCCTTATTTGGGAGAAATAATGTTTTCTACAGAACCGCATGATTTGGGTAAAGTATGCTTCCCCCTCTTATACTTATGTACCGTATTATAGGGAACTCACTACTCTCCTTGTGTGTTTCTCTCTTCTCTCCTTCAGATTGTATGTGTTTGGGAGATGAAGAATGTTGGGTCGAGGGAGCGCTCGCCCGTGCATCTCCAATTGAAGCACACCCTTCACGGGCACACTGACTCAGTTACATGTATAGCTGCTTCCACTGCCTTCAATATCATTGTCTCTGGGTCAAAGGTCAGTTATTCCCCTACTATACATGTACATTGAAAGTTGTTGCTCTCCTATCAGATTCATAATATGTATGTTTATATAGGATCAGACGTGCATTATTTGGGATATCAACAAGATGGTGTTTGTGAGGCAACTGCAGGAGCACACAGGTCCTGTCACTATGGCAGTTATCAGCCAATCTAACGTGAGAATCATATTATTCTACACATGTAAACCAAAAGCTAGTGGATGGGTGACCCAACGTTTAGTGCAAGGAAAAAAGTTTTATTTCAAAATATTTTAGGTTGGGATGTGTAAAAAAATACTGCGGCTCAAATTACGGCGATGTTGTTTATTTTATACTAGTGGAAGTCACTACATATGTGCACTGTACACATTCACAGGGTAATATAGTGTCATGTACAAAGAGTCAGATCTGTCTGTGGACAGTCAATGGTCGACTGCTGGCCTCCACCACCATTCTCATCACTGGCAACTTCAGCCTCCTCTGCTGCACCGTCTCAGAGGTACGTTTATTACGTGCACATCTTTCTTATTGCGTACAAGTGGTTATAGTGTCAAGAAAGATTTTGGGGAAAAGCTATGTTAGGCCCATTTTAAAAGGGTGGAGTTTACTTTTTCTTGGTGCCCATATCTTTAACCGCTGGCCCTCTTACCCCTTTCCTTCTTGATGAGTTCAAGTCCTTTCTGTAGACAGACCTCCCTATGTATTGGGTACAGTAAGAAAGTGAAGGTGCCCACATCTTTAACTTCTGGCACCTCCTACCCCTTTCCTTCTTGATGAGTTCAAGTAGACAGACCTCCATATGTATTGGGTACAGTAAGAAAGCGAAGGTAGTTAATGATAGGAGAGTGTAACCTTCTTATGGTGAGAGGTATTAATAACAGACTCATTGAGATGGTGTTGTTTTGTTGTTCTGACTGTGTACAGATGTTTGACTGGGACCAGGACAATGTGATAGTCACAGGTTCTACAGACGGCATCGTGAGGGTACGTCCGTACCCACTGGCTCCGTGGTGTGGACCGTTTTCTATTGACACATTGCGCTATTGCGTGTTGGTTTCAGTATGTGTATTGTGCTGTACTAACGTGTGCATAGTGTTCCACTACTTACTGTGTGATGTAGTGTAGTACTTAGCATCAGTATTAAACACAGGCTCTCATACTGCACAAATGTACGTTTCACTGTAGTATGTGTGCTATATGCGTAGTACTTGCGAACTGCATGATTATACATATGCACTTCAGCTGTATAGCTATATACCATCTTTCAACATCCGTTGCCATTCACCCCCTCACTGGAAAATTAAAGTGTGGACAAATTGACAGAACCATTTTCTTAACACTAAACTAGAAAACCTACTTCTTACACTGTTTATAGTGAAAGTGTTGTTGCCCCCTATATACACTCTCTCTCTCCGTAATGTGCAGATGTGGGTGGTGGAGTATGTAAAAGAAGGAGAACATCCCCAATCCCCTGTCAAAAAGAAAGGTATATAGACATTTACCTTCACATGCTGTATGAATGTATAATGAACTTTGCAATTGACTGGCGATGGTCCTACCACCAGCTTTTCTATGTCTTACCTTTTCAATTACCTTCTACCAGAGCTCTCTTATAATAGCTACGTACATAGACCTGTATTTAGACCTCAATGTGCTGGCAATATTCCGTCTCTGTGTCAGAATTGTCTGTGTGTCTGCTGGTCATCCTTGTTCTTGTAGTTCTTTGTAGTTCATAGCCCTAGTCCTCTCATATATATATATATATATAATTATACATACACACTACTGGCTACTAGATCATCACGCTTCAGAGTCCAACTTGGACAGTCCCGTCGCGTCGAGACCGGCCGCACTAGTGCAGAAGATGCAGAGGCTTTTGAGCCAGACTGAAGGTATATGGTGCACACCCCAGAGTTCTGTGCTGTCCGTGAACACACTCTGACCTCTCATGCTCAAAATTTACCCCTGCTGGAGGGAAACTGTCATATATCTGTTGAGAGCATGTAGGGATTATAGTATGTGCTTTTTCTTTGAAAAAATAAGTGTTGGTAAATGAGTTGGTAAGATTGAATCATTGTTTGTTATGTTCCTTTATTGCACAATGTCTGTTTTAGCATTTTCTGTGTTACTGTAAGTACGATGTAATAACGTTTCATTCTAGTGCCAAGTGGTGAAGGGCTAGAAGGAGCTCGTATAGCTAAAACTGAAACTGGGCGACAAGACGACATGTCATCAGGTGTGTGTGGGTGTGATGCCTGTTTTTATTGCATACGCCGCAAAGTTACCTAACGGTCATATTTGTGAATAATTGTCTGAAATAGAGGCGAAATGATTCCAAGCAGGATTGCCAATAAACGACTGCTTATTATTTTCCAGTTATATGCACGCTATTGGGGTATACATAATTATACTGTTGTTGCACGTGTGGATGGATGTCATGTGAAAAGCTAGCTTATATAGTTGGTGTGTGTGTGCATCAATGTTGATTGTACAGGCTACTAGAAAGTTCACTGTTGTGCAAACATGTCACCGGCTGAATGCAAAATTATCCCTTTCGTTTCTGTTTCGCAATGAGGATGTTTACTTCAGTCCATAGCCCCATAGCTACCACCCTTCTTGTCTTCCATGACAGACTACAAATCTTTCCTAAGTGTACTCGTGACCCCTGACCTACATATGTACGTGTGTATGCACGATTTCCTAACAGTTGTATATACCAATTGCCAAAAACCGTGTGTGTGTGTTAGGGAATCGAAAGTGTATCTTTCATGTTTATCAGACGAGTATGAAGGGTCTTACAATAATATCATGTAGCCTTTAGAGAATAACAGCCGACTGCTGAAAATGAGCTGTGTTTACGTAGAAAATGTTGTGTTTATTGTGCAGTCTCCTGTTCCTACCAAAGCCCCCAATAGTCCTGTTTGTTCTTCATGTTTACTCTTGCTTTAGCCTTGTATATGTACACACAAGGCTGTTATGGAGAGGAGCAAATAGCCTGTTGTTTGTGCATCCGCTTAATTATTGTGTCACTGTGCATTGTGTAATTGTGTTTCTCTAGAAGTCAGGTTTGAAGGAAAATTTTTTGCTGTGCTTTCACTCAGTGATGCTAGTTGCTAGTCTATTTGTATGTCAAAATGGGCTATGTGCCCACAACACCTTATGCAAACACACCCAAGGGCTTAGTATGTCAAATGTTGCCAACCAGCCTTATGAGCCATGGTAAAACGCTATATGATCCCCTCCTTTACTCTCCCCCTGACTTTTTTCTGTTGCTCAGCCAATGGAATGAGCAGTGACAGTGAAGACGATGTATATTCCACCCCACAAAACACCACTCCAGAGAGCAAGAGAAAGCAGAGCGATGAAGGAAAGGACAACCCACTCTATCATACCGACTTGGAACAAGACACAAACCGTCCAATTGAGACCACCGCACCACATAACGGACTCGAAGACAGGGGCTTACCCTTACCTGGTGCACTAACGGAAGATGGGCCACTCGCAAAGTCCGACACGCTCTCGGTGAAAACTCCAGACAGAACTAGATCGAGTAGCTTGAGAGAAAGTAGTGAGAGAGAGACGGGTGCTAAGAAACTGAGGAGCAGGTCTCAGCCTCCTGAAATAGATGATCCGACTAAGGAGGAGGAGAGGAAGGGAGTGGGGAGAGGGGAGAGAGCTCTCCCAGAGTGTCCCAGCATCCCTGCAACATCCCCATCAAGACCCAGATAGGTAGGTGGACAGAAAGGGTATCATCCTGGAGTTGAAAGTACCTACAACTAAACCTTCCCCTTTCCCATATAGCAGATTGTGTAGGTATAGTGACTCTCACAACTCTTATATAATTGCATTGCTGTTCTCAAACTAGGTTGTGGAAGTATAGTGTTTTATTGTGTTTGCTACTCTATGTAGTGAGTAGGGACTGCATTTCTTGATGGCATGCATCATGCACTGAAGTGCCAGCTCTTCTCTATTACTACAATATGCCTCTATACAACCTCAAATGAACTGCACTTCATCACTATACTACTGTTTGTGTGTAGATACCAGTGAGAGTGATGGTAACACACTGGGATCAGAGGTGAGACAGGCTGGTCAGGGGCCTCCCTCCAGTCCAGAGGTGGCCCACTGTCTGGAGGAGGCCAAGAGAAGAGCCAGGGAACTCAGGGAGAAGGCGGGGCAGTGGACACGCAGACTCACCCTCGTCCACACACTCACCATGCACACTGCCATGTCCAGGAAGGACAACGACACACCTGCTGCTGTCACCAGTCTCTGTATATCACGGTGCGTCACTTATCTATAGTTGGAAACTTTTGGGGGGGAAATATGCCAATTAGAGGACAATTAGACTTTCTCTATGATCTTTGTTTTCAAAATTCCCTCTCTTGAAAGTTTGGCATACTGAGTGTGTGTGTAATGAACGGATTAATTTTGGTTCTGTCTTGTGTCCAGGGATCATCGGAGGTTGTATGTTGGTGATTCTCGAGGTCGTGTCTTCAGTTGGACCGTCTCTGACTCACAAGGTGCCTATCATATCTAGCTACACCACCCACTTTGTTTTTACTACACATTCAGGTAGAACCACATCTGTTTTATATAGGCAAGCTAGAATTATAGCAATTTCAAGCGCTATTAGTCTCACTAAATGAACCATTACACCATTGGATGTATTGTGATGAGTGCGTGCACATATTGTGAGTATTGTTCTTATGCTGGAACATAGTGACTGCACAATAATAATTCACCTTTCTGTTGTTGTGCAATAATTATGTCTGTGTGTTAGGAGGAGTGATGGAGCACTGGTTGAGAGATGAGGCTGTGGACAAGTGTATGAAGTGCAGCGCCGACTTTACCTTCACTGAACGCAAACACCACTGTCGAGACTGCGGGAAAATCTTCTGTCACAGGTACAATACTACTGCTGTGTTGAACACAGCGTAACATGTAGAGATGTATGATCTCAAATCAAATGTTTGGGGCTATGGTTAGGAAAGTGGGAAATTTTTAATTTGCACTGTAGCGCATCTGAAAAGCCTTATTATGGAGCTGAATAATGTATTGAACCATTCTCCTCTCTGTTGTACAGGTGCAGTGCCTATGAGAGTGAAGTAAAGAGATTGCGGATCTTCAAGAAAGTTCGTGTGTGTGAAGAGTGCTACAAGAACTTGAGACCCAAACAATCACCAAAGATCTAGCAAAATCACAAATTTTCATCCCTGTATCATTTGTGTATAATTACATTTTCAACACGACGTCCGTGAAACAGCGCGACGATTTTTGCAGCGTCAGCAAACAGTGCGCTCGCCGCTCGATCGTTGCCAGTGGCACCTCGGAGTCCGGAGAATCAGAGAGTGGAAGGATATAGGTACGTAACCAAAATCTTATCATGGATAGCTTGCAGAGTGCGTACTATAGCCCCACAGACCTTCAGAGCCGTTTGCGGTGTAATATACGGCGGCATGCATGCGTTCGATCCCAGACCGTGATTTGTTTTAGCTACAAGAAGAACGGAGAGGGTGTTACAGTGTTTCTTTCTATACCAAAAGATGATCGCAGGTCGAGATGGAAGTTAAAAAGACCACAGAACTTGGTATCCTTATCTGTGTCGGCGTTCACTGTCTGTTGGCTCAGACATTTCCATATGTCAGCTTCAATGGACAAAATCTGGCAAATCATAGCTATGTGGACCTCAGTCTTGTGGGGAATGGGAATGACAGTGTTGTGTGTCGCACTGATCTGAGTACGTGCTGCAGTGGTGAACAGGGTCCACACAGAGGAGACTGGTACTTTCCTGATGGGACACAACTTCCATTCTCTGGCAGTGATAATACAATGTACGAGGATCGTGGTGCCCAAAGAGTTGGTATTTTTCGTCTAAACAGCAATGTATTTGGTATATATCGCTGTGATATACCAACAAATGCAGTTCATGATGACACTGATATCAGTGTACGAGCCGCAGCATATGTAGGGCTCTATCCCAGTAGTGGTGAGTGGATGTTATATGTGTCATAGTGCATACATTATCACTTTTGCTGTCATTTTTTGTCTCCCTCTGAACCAACTATTTCAGTAATAAAGCCTCTTGTGTTTGCTCAGTTATGTTTGTATCTGCCAGCCAATTTTGGCTAATGTTATGCTCCAACTTTGTGCTAGTGCTTTCGTGTTAATTAAACTGAACTGTGAACCAAACATGTTAACTATACTAACAGCAATAATATGCGTGAAAATCTCCAGGTGGTGACATAACTATGCCCGAATCAATTCACTACCACAACCTCACACTTACTTGCAACTCCAATGGTGGACCTGCTACCAATGTTACTTGGACAAGAAACTCTGGGCATGCTACAGGAGTATCAAGAACTGTTCTTGTAAATCCAGTGGAAGCACAGTACGAGCACATCCTAACAATTACTGAGAATAAAGGGGGAAATTATACATGTATTGTTGAAAATAACAAGCCATCACATAACTCGTCAAGTCTTATAGTTCAAGGTAACGAAATTTCTCTTATGGCAATTATTATAATTTTTGCCTCTTTCATAATAGTGGCAACTGCTCCTCAACACGTCAGTCTTGTGCAAAATAATGAAAGCAGTATAAACGTGACATGGGACCCACCAAACCCTCCAGGAGATACTACTGGGTACAGAGTATTCTACAGAAAAGGCACCATGATAAAGAACAGAACTGTGACTGGTGCTAGCTCAACTTTTACTGTTCTGAATGACTTGCAGCCCTGGGTGCGCATACAACATATCTGTAGCGGGTTTGTCAAAGCACCTACCAAGTGATATGGTGACATCTGCCATATTTTTAGGTGAGCATATTATCTGTTGCCTAGCATACAACCAAACCTTTTTTCATTGTTCTTTTCTACTTACAGCTGCGCTACCGAGAAACATAGTTGTTAATTTTACCACTACGACGACAGAGATCTCACTAATGGTGTCCTTCGACAACTATAGTTCAGCTGTGGACTATACAATCACTGTGACTTGGGAATTATTGCCACGTACATGCAGTGATGTGGCTGGAGTGTCTGATAGTGAGACATATTATACATATGTGCGTATGATGGAGTACACAATAACCGGATTAAATGCTAATAGTTTATACAGCATAACAGTGTTAATAAGCAATCCAGCAGGGAATGTGACCAGTCATCCTATCAATGCAACAACCCAAGAACAAGGTATATACGTAATGTTTTTGCCTTTTACCTGTTTAGATGCCCTTTATTGCCTGAACAACAGAACCATCTTCTCCTCCTGAACTGATAAAAGCTGATCCCGGGACATTCAGTATTACGGTGAGCTGGAACTCTGTTCAGTGCTCCCACCAACATGGAAGAATAACAGGATATGTGGTGAAATACCGCAAATATAACAGCAATGTTACCCTGACCAAACAAACAGAGGCTCTGGAGCTAAAAATCACAGACCTACAGCCTTCAACTTCGTATGTCATTGAAGTGGGAGCAGAGAATGGTGCTGGTACTGGAGTCTATGGAATCATCACCCCTATGCCAGAAACAAAGCCATGTAAGCTTTACAAACTTTTGCTTTTGCTCTACAATGAGTATTTTTATGTTATGTGTAGTTGAAGTGTTTATGATCTCCAAAACGTCATCATCTATCGAGTTAGGATGGTCCCAAGTTGATTACAATACCACAAGAACAGTAATTGTAATGTGGGAAGCAAAAACATGTGTGAACTCTCATGGAAATCAAAGCACCGACCTTAAAGACGTGTCTTATGTGATATCACCATTGGAGGAATACACTAGTTACATAATCACAGGGTGTGTGGAAGAAATTCCATCTGCTCGCCATTCAGTTACGGTCACAACCGACGAAGAAGGTAATAAATAAACTGAAAACCGCATGTGATTATAGTTTGGGTCCTATTTCTCCCCAGCTCCATCTGCTGCCCCTGTTAATATTACCGTTGTCAGCACAACAGCATATAGCATCACAATTGAATGGGGTCCTGTGCCATGTATTCATCAGAATGGACTCATTACTGGCTATATCATACACTACAGTAGTCAAACAGATGACCATGAAAAAAGCATTGGAAACACAACAACGTTTGAGATAACTGGATTGAAACCAGCTATGGAGTATGAAGTAGAAGTAGCTGCTTTCAATGTAGGAGGTAGAGGACCTTTTACCAGCACATTTCTCGAAGTCAATACCACAGGTATAACTATGCCTTACTTTAGAGAGCATTACTTTACTGCTGAAACTATAATTTAATTCTGTGTTAGAGGACTCTAGTGTTACCCCAGACCCGACAAAATCAACAACAATGACTCCATCTTCACCTGAGTCACCAACTTCTCATACCACAGAGGATGATACCAGGGAACGTAGTGGTGACATTGGTGGGGCAGTGGGTGGTGTGGTGGTGTCTGTTCTGGTCATTTTTGCAACCACTGTGGGAATCATTGCTGTCATCTGGCTATTGAGAAGGTGTGTATTATGTATCCATACATGAGGTAATAGGGTGAAGGCTTTTTCATGCTTTTGTGTTCTGTGTCATAGGAAAAAGTTTACTCTGTTTCCAGTGGGACACATTAGAGTTTTGTCTAAACAAAGCGCCATGCCAGACTCTAAAGACATGTCTTTGGACCAAATCTCCAGTGAGCCAACACTATGTGGGCACACTCTATAGAGTGTGCTATATTCCATGTTGTATTATCAGTTGGAGAGAGTCTGGCAGACCCAGAGCTATCCTCTGAGGCTGAGACAGTGGGAATTGCACCAGACTCCACACTGCTTCAGTCTCAGAATGGTGCCACGTCAGATGGTATCTCACAGCAACAAGCTGCAGAGGAAGATAAGCTACCCCTCTCATCACCGGAGAAGGTAGTAGACCCTGAGACAGAGGGAGAGAGTGAGAAGACAGGGGATGGGAGAGAGAGAGGCTCAGCTCCGGAGAGTCCGGTCAAGGAATCCCCGAAAACACTGTCTATACCAGTGGCTATGTTTGGGGCCCACGTGGAGAAGAATCACACTAACAGCAACGAACTGTTCAAGGCAGAGTTTGAGGTGAGTTAATTATAATATTATGCCTGTCATTTGTGACACTTTGTGTGTGTAGGCACTGAGTGATGGCGAAGGAAAGTCAGTAGCTATAGCAAAGAGTCTAGAGAACAGGAGAAAGAACCGCTTCGCCAACATTTCAGTGTGTAAGTTAGGACTCGAAATTCAGAAGAATTGGTGTGTATTTGTGTTGTGTGTGTGTGAGCAGATGATGATAATCGTGTGATCCTGAGCCCACTAGGTGACCTCATTAATGATTACATCAATGCAAGTCATGTGGATGTAAGTCCCTATACATGTGCTGCAAAGTAATAATATATTCGTCATTTCTCCCTCTCTTAGGGGTATACCAGACCAAAGAAATTTATAGCGGCCCAAGGTATAACAAATATATACATTTTGTTTAGTGTTTCAAGTTTCAGTTACTACTGTTGTGTAGCTACTAAATCAATTTTCAGTTCCTGGATTTGTGTGTATAGATGTAGGATCATGAAACTCCTGAGAGCTGATTACTGCAATACTACCCACCCAGGGCCAATCCCCAGCAGTATAGTAGACTTCTGGAGGATGGTGTGGCAGGAGAAAGTGCCGTCAGTGGTGATGATCACCAACCTGGTGGAGGGGAAGAAGACAAAGTGTGAGCAGTACTGGCCGTCCTCTGGGTCTCAGGATTTCGGCCGTTCCACATATCCATCACTCACAACTCATTCTCGCTGACTACACCATCAGAACACTCAGTGTTGAGGTATTAGGGACAGATACTGGGTCCACATTTTGCACAAGCAGTAGATCAGTTAGTTGCTGGCAAAGTCTAGTATAATTATTTATAGCAGTAAATTTGATTCCCCATAGCAGAAGATTATCATGTATGTAGTAACAAAGAGGTCTGAACCCTTGGAAGTATAAGCACACATACACACTCCCTGTATCCTTCTCCTGCCAATAGTATGTACTCATTGTTCCTGTCAGTATCACCACCAAATTTTGTTCTGTTTGGTGTTTCTTACCATCCCTATACCCCACTTGAAGTATCTCTGCTGTCTGCAGCTCTCAGGGAAGACCAGGAAGGTGAATCATTTCCACTACACAGCCTGGCCAGACCACGGAGTACCTGACTATGCCACCTCCATACTCAACTTCCATAAGATGGTTATGAAAGACCACAAGGCCCACAGAGGTCCTCTAATAGTGCACTGTAGGTAAGGTGTACTGGTAATGGAATCCAAAGAACACGGCATTTAGGAGATGATGACTTTCCTCTCTTTTTCAGCTGCACATAGTGTGGCTGGTGTATTACGTTGCCACAAACACATTGTTGTCCATGAACTTGCAGTTACATGGAACTGGCATGGGACCTCAGTTTTCTTTTTCTAAATATTCCCAAGTGTTTATCAGGTGTTGTGCATAAATGCCGGGTCATACTTGGGGGAGACCCCCAGTAGACCAAGTCAAAGTCTAAACCCTGTGCAAATGACCCCCTGGTATATGTTCCCGCCTCTGTAGTGCTGGTGTTGGTAGGACAGGGACATTCATAGCCATAGACCATGTCCTGGAGCAGAGGGAGACAGAGGGAGTGGTGGACATCCTTGGAGTCATCCTCAAACTACGGCAACAGAGAACCAACATGGTCCAGACTCTGGTACATATACACATTGCACTGTTTTTCAACCTACTTTAAGCCCTCCATGCAAACATTTGATATAAAGTGCTCCTCCTCAGTCTTTGCGCATGTCTGATGTATTTTATGGTGGTACTTTTGTTGTGTATACTTTCAGCTTTCAAATTTGCTATACACTTTCAAAGTGACGTTGTGTTTTTCATTGCTTCTTCATGTTCTTCCAGGACCAGTACATCTTCATCCATGATGCAATACTGGAGTCAGTCACATGTGGAGACACTGAGATTGAGGCTGGGGACCTGAGGAAGAGACTGGCTCAACTCAAGACCAGAGATGAGTCTGGTCGCTCTGGACTTGACCTACAGTTTGCCGTAAGATTGCTCTTAACAGTACATACAAACGATTCAACTGCATGACCCAGAAATTGTCCAAGTCGTTTGGACGGAAAATTCCCTTTAGCTTTCTACCTGCTGAACTTCCAGGGCAGAGGCAAACCCCATTGTGGATGGTAGCAGAAAAAGTCTTGAGTACACTTTGTTAAACCATGTATCTTTGATGAGTGTATTGATGAAATTGCGCAGATCCTGGACCAGGTGAGTTCAAACGTAGGAGAGGCAAAGTCATTTGCTGCACAAAATAACCTCGACAAGAATAGATCTACTGACTTCTTACCAGGTTATTTCCTAACACACATCCTAATGTGCTACCCAAGTGACCTGTGTTCCCTTCCCAAACACACAGTGGACAATTGGAGAGTTGTTTTGAAAGGAGAAAATCCGGACTACATACATGCTAGCAGTGTCCATGTAAGAAACTGTTGCTCTATCTGTGTTTCTATTGGAAGAGGTAGGCCCAGAGAAATGTTTATTGCCCATGCTGTGTCTGCAGGGCTACAAGAAGCACAGGGCGTTCATCATCACACAGGGACCGATGCGCTCCACTGCCAGAGACTTCTGGAAGATGGTCTACAGCAGGAAGTGTAGTGTGGTCGTCATGTTATCAGACCTCATTGAACTTGATGAGGTGACACATTTCTATAAGATGGTGATATGTTTAACCTCTGCAATAGACTATATTTGATTGTACTAAGCACTTGCTTGCACAAGAGCGTCGTGAACTTCTGCTTTTGAAGTGAAAGATCAAAAATCAAACCGCAATCCACTGAATCTGCCCCACTAAATGGTGTACAGTGAACACTAGGCTTAGCTTGAGAGTTGTGTTTCATTAAGAGGTGATGTAATCATTTGTGGTATACCAGGAGGTGTGCTACCAGTACTGGCCTGGGAAGAGAGCACAGACATATGGGGAGTTCAGAGTAGAGCTGCTCAATGAGGGGTGGAAGAGTGGATTCTTATACAGAAACTTCTCTGTCCAACAGGCCAAGGTATATAGGCAAAATAAGAAGAAGGGGAGTTGAGTTCGTAGCTCTTTACGCTGTACAATACATGCAGTTATTGATTTGAACTTGCAGTTTGCCACAGCCCATCAGGTGTGGCAGTTCCACATCCCAGAGTGGAGCTCAGACTACCAGTGGTGTGGGGATGTGAATGCCATGGTCTCTGTCATAGAGGAAGTCTCAAAGGTCCAGAGGAAGACTGGGAACCACCCCATTGTCGTCCATGGACTGTGAGTTTTAGCTAGTGGATCATTATCAAGCTGTCAATGGTCGAAAAATCAACTGCAAGGCATAACACCCACAACAACCCATTCTCGTACTGACATGGAGCGTGAAAATTTTAATGCACATTAAAAGCTATTAACCCTATCAATTGAAGACATTCAGTGTCATTGTACGGCTCTGCGTTAGCAATTAATGTCCTCACAAACAGGCCAAACTTATTATTCCTCCACACACCCTTTACTAGACATGCGAGAGTTCATCTTAACTGTTATTGGTGGTGTCAGTATATTATTCAATAGCAAAGTGACTGAACTCCTTGAGTTCTGAACATTGTATATTATAGTTATCCAAATCTATTGCTATACAGTGACACAGTGAGTAGATCAGCCATATTCTGTGGTGTGGCCACCACCATTGAGAGGTGTAAGACAGAGGGAGTGGTGGATGTGTTCCAGGTGGTCAAGGCCATCAGAGTTCAGAAACCTGGAGCCATACAAACTTTGGTATGTGTATAGTTATTAAAGTTCTTTGGATTGACTAAACATGTATATTTTACAACTTCAACAGGAACAGTATCAGTCAATTTATGAAGCTCTTTTGGTGTTCATTGACTCATTTGAAACATACTCAAACTTTACAACATAGCTTTTTTATCGTCATATCAGATTTTATCAGTCTGTAAAACTACACGATGCGCAGATCTATGGGGCGCCATTTGTCTCAAAATTCGCATTTGTAAACCATTTAGTAGCTTCACCAGACTACCCCTTTTCGCACCGTTTAGCTAAATCGTTGGATACATACTATGGATATAGCTAAATCGTTGGATGGATATAGCTAAATCATAGATATAGGAGATCGCGCGATCAAGTGTATACCTGATCATGCGCATGCGCTCAACTTCAAGGCGCCTCGCCTCCCTCCCGGACCCCGCCCCTCACTGATAACAAAATGGCGGAGTTGCAGTCATCTATTGAACAGGCCATTGTGCAAGCACTCTCCTTTGCAAAAAGTGTGCCTTGTCACACGTGGCCCTACAAGGCTATGCGCATGCGCAGAGCGGAGAGTCTCCGACGCCATCCATCGATTTGGCTATAATTACCTGACGATTTAGCCTTCGGACGATTTAGCTACTTATACCCATGCACATACTTGCCAACCATGTAAATTTATTTTACTGGACACTTTGTTCAGAAATGCAGGACATGAAGAATAATTGCTGGACAGAAAAACACTACAAACACTGTCTATTTTAAATAATAAACCCATATCACAATGTATGGGGAATGTGTCGCAAATTTCCTACATGTGCAGGAATTTCCGGCAAAATGCAGGAAATTTCCGGCACAACTAAGGAAGCTTTAAATTCTTCCCTGAACATGTCAAAAATACGGGGATTTTGCAGGAATATTTCCCACACTTTTTTTTATACCTTTTTGCACTTTTTGATAAACTCCCTGCGCATGCAGTGACGCGGAGCGTTTGTCGGACGCGGGACAATAAAACTCTGCTGCGGGACAGCAGGACGCCATTGATTTTTGCGGGACAGTCCCGCGGAATGTGGGACGGTTGGCAAGTATGCATGCAACGATTCAGCTATTATTCATCCAACGATTTAGCTATATCTATCCAACGATTTAGCTATAATATCCATCCAACGATTTAGCAATCCAACGATTTAGCTAAACGCTGCGAAAGGGGTAGTCTGGTGAACGCGAAAAATGCCGTCCCCATTACAGATCGTTGTGCCAACATGTACAGAAACCCCGCCCACACACTACGTGCGTGCGCGGCGGGTGTGCGCAGGTAGGTGTGGGGCGGGCCACCGCATTCAGAAAGACATGTCAGGTTATACATAGTCTGGTGCCCAGACCCCTTCACAAAAGCAGCGACAAGCAAAGACATGTCAGGTTATACAGTCCCGGGACCTCCGCTTCGCGCTCGATCGCCACGCGCACGAGGCGATGCGCATGCGCATTTCTACTGAAGCTTGGATCCACGTTCTTCCGGTAATCCATGTCAGGTGTGCGCGTGCGTGTACGGACCGAGCGAGGTAAAGTTCACCCTTACAGAAAAAGGGTAAATTATGGTACCGCGCATGCGCAGTTCGCCGAGGTTTATTCGAGGTGGTAGCTAGTTAGCTGGAACAACAACGAGATTTACTTGTCATTCCTAGTTTTCATCATTTTC